AGTTCCAGACCACGCCAGTTCACTTTTCACTTCATTTTACCACGTATAAAACAAATCACGGATTTACAAACAAGGTAAAATTCGATGCAGGATTTTCAGAAAGACTGAAAATAAAAGATGATGCTGTGCCGAATATATTGGATCCGACAGTAATGTCGCAAGTGTGAGTAACTGTTTTTATTATGTGGTCACTATTGCTTTGTCTGTTATTACAAATCGTTTGATATGTACTATGTATTTATGCGTTTTTAACCTAAATAACAGCAGCGCCCATCTGTGAAGGATGTAGGCTGTCAAACATACACAACTGTTAGCCACTCATATCAGTGGGCGTTTACTTTTGAGTCTACAATCCATCACGCCTATTCAAACGGAGCGTTTCGATAAACAGGACATAAAATAGACTTTTACTTCTAAATTATGTTGTTTTTAAATTTAAAAATCTTGATAGCAAATTCACAGAGCACCGCGTATAATATGTGGAAAAAAAGATATCAACTCACAAGAATGACTCATTAACCATTTGTTTTAGTTTAAATATGAGGACAATTTATTAATTCGATCCCTCAGTTTAAGATCCATCATTTTAGTTAAATTGTAAATGGCCTAAAAAATCGAATAAACGATTAGGCATATTATTATTATTATTATTATTTAAAACATGGTTTAATTATTATTTAAACATGTTTTAATTAATACATAGGACCAATTTAATAAAAAGTGATCAACAATTTCTTTAATTCATGGACATTATGATTTCATGTCATGAGCAGGGCTCTGTATTTGGGAATAGACGTATCAAAAAAGGACTCAATATTTTTCTTATTAACAATAATCATTCTTTTCTCGTTATTTTTTCTTATGGTATAATGGACACCTCTTTAAATATAATAAACATTCAAAGAGTTAATCTAAAATACTGGCTGGTACAGAAAGTAAGCACATTTCAAGCACTGCCATCACTGTGATATTTCACCGTGTCAAATAGCTGGAACGTTACATTTATATGATGAATAATTCGAGATTAAATGTTATAATGCTTTATTAGCCTATTATATTATAATATTATCACTGATTTATTTAATTATTTTTAACTTTATTTACAAGTAAAAATGTCATTTCCAGCTTTACTTAGCAATGATGTCAACCGTCCCTTTGCGCTCCTGGTGGTGATTTTGCGAACGAGTTTCACATGTGACTGGGTTTTAACGCCGTAGCCTTGCGGAGGCAGTACACACGGCAGTAATAGGCATTTTGGTTGACTACCTACTGTAAGTGGACCTTAGAGAACAGTACAGAATAATAAAAAAAAGGCAGTTCATGACCCCTTTAAGGCTGCCAACAAAGATCAATCTTCCTCACAACAACACTGATAGAAATCGACTTAAACTCCAGATGAATTTTTTTTAATAAGAAAAAAGCTGAAAGACTCATAAAGCATGTGTTTTCACATCTCACATCTTCAGATTTTTCAAATCTCAGCTACTTCATCATGGAGAACTTTTTTCCCATGCTGTGCAATTTAAGACATGGTTACACTCTACAAATACTCAGAAAACACTGGATGCTGAACACACTGATGTCCTAATAAAGGGCCTTCATTAATGCCAATTGTGCCTCGACCCTTTGGTGGGTTTCTGTAATTTTAGACCGAAAAAAAAAATTTAGGTTTTGAATTTTTCATTTTTGTGTTTCTGTTTTGTCAACAGAATGGTACAAAACTTGGAGACTTTTTTGTACTTGCTATATAAACAGACAACAAATATGTGGATACAATTTAAAAAATGATAAATGGTCTTAAAAAATATATAGCTACACTTGAGATCTTTACAATCAAAAATGACTGCCAAAGGAAATGAATGGGACATTTGAAAAATACAAAAATACAGAGCAATTTTTTGGGGGTATAATTTAAAGATCAGCCATGATGAAGTAGACTTTGTTAATAAATATATCCAAATGCAATAAATCTAATAAAAATAAGTAATTACCTCTGAAAATACTCTTATAACAAAAGAAAACACAGCCATAATAGTGCTGTCAAATTGATTAATCGCGACTGATCACATCCAAAATAAAAGTGTGTTTACATAATATATGTGTATATTTATATGCATATATCAATACACACACATACATGCATATATTTAAGAAATGTATGTAATATATATATATATATATATATTAGTGCGATCAAACGATTAATCGCGACTGATCGCATCCAAAATAAAAGTTTGTTTACATAATATATGTGTATATTTATATGTATATATCAATACACACACATACATGCATATATATAAGAAATGTAATATATATATATATATATATGTGTTATCAAACGATTAATCGTGATTAATCGCATCCAAAATAAAAGTTGTTGTTTATATAAAATATGTGTGTGTACTGTGTATATTTATTATGCGTATATAAATACACAAACATACATGTATATATGTAAAAAATATTAACATATATATATTCATATAATTTCTTAAATATATGTTTGATGATCTGAAACATTAAAGTGTGACAAACATGCAAAAAAAAAAAAGAAATCAGGAAGGGGGCCAACATTTTTTCACACCACTGTATATATGTGTGTGTTATGATTGACAGCTGGAGTGCCCATGAGCTCATGAGAGGGCACTCCATCCCATACCTATGCCACTCAATCCCGGACTCCATTTCCCATAATCCTTTGCCTGGACTCATCAGTTCACAGCTGTCACATATTAGGAGGACTATAAAGCTTGCACACACTCACATAAATTGCTGAGTATTGTATAGCCTGTAATGTTCCCAAGTTCCCATGTTAACTGATTGTATTTATTGAAAATAATATGAATATTTTTGTATTTTAAATAGAAATAAATGGTTCATAATTTAGAGGTGAATGTTGTGTAGAACCATGAAATTGTCTCAAAATACTATAAACAAATATTATAGTATAATATAGTACAATAATAATAATATAATAGAGTACAACAGTAATATAATATAGTGCATTCTTTTCATTAAACAAAATGCTATGCTTTTTGTCTTTTTGTTTTGACCACCAAGGGTCATCAGTGTAAGTGAGGAATACCAGAAGGTTAAAGTAAGACATTGGGCATTGTAATTATTATAATTTTTTTTGACAACTGCGGATCTGTTGGGTCAGTGTGCAAGTGTATTTTGCATAAAAAATATTTGCATTCCCACAACTATGCAAACCTCTATTGCCTCTATTTAACTATCAGAAACCTATCACTGCCCCATGACACTGCCCCAGGCACACACAACAAGTATTCTCTGCAAGAGGTCTTCACACTCTCACATACTTCAAAAAGAAGCTGGATTAATGCAGTGACAATTTAATAATAAAGTGATGCAGCTGAAAACGGCACAAAACCAGCCAGCCAGTCAACACACACATATTTGCACGCTGCTGACACGCACCTGCTCAAGGTCCTCTATTGTCTGATCCTGAAACCATATGAGAGGAGTAAACAGAGATATACATGCAGACACGTAACACACATATGTGTGAAAAGGAAAATACAATATTTTATCTAGTTTTCTCACCAAAAGTCATGGCCACTTATTTCATTCGACTTACTTAATTTATGACTACTCAGTATGTGGTTGAAATTGAGAAAGCCTGGGTAAATGGGGCGTCTCACTAGTCAACTCGTAAGAACTAACTTTCAGTATGGGGATTTCTCACCTGCCGACTGTTTTTGATGAAATCATGTCTCCCTTTTCAGTCAGAGGTCTGTCACATGCACGGATCAAAAATGACAGTTGGTGGCATAATAAACAGCTGCCTATAAATTTTGAATTGAATTCTTATCTGAATTACAAATAAGTGAAGCTTGTGAAAAAAGAAAAACAACAGGAGCACTGCACAAACTAAACTGATCCAAAGAGAACGGAAAAATTGAAATCGCATCATATGACCCCTTTAAATGTATGAGATATGTTATCACAGCATTAGTAAGAAAAAAAGTTCAGCTAGTGAAGACACCGGCAATTGAAATCATATATGAAATAGTTAAAAAATCTATACTTTATTTTAAATATTTTATAATTTCAATATTTTATTTTCATTAGCCATTTTGCCCCAAAATTGTATTTCTATATATTCCATTCCATTCCTTTGTCCACTTAAAAGGCTATGGCTACATTTAACCCACAACACTTAATGAACCTTTACAACCTATAAACAATGATTTCCTGCAACTGGTAAACAGAAACTACCAGGTGCAGGTGGGATTTCAACATCATCTACAAACAGGAAAAAATAACAAGAAAAGTTATGACTGCCATCATCTGGCAAAACAAGGAATTACAAGAAAACTGATTCTAATAGCCAATGGTGACTGGGGTGTGGCAATGCGTTTCTCGTCTAGTGCGCAACTAGCTTTAAATGTTTTATGGGTCACAGACATAAACATCTCCAAGGCAACTATAATGTATTTCTATGTGTACAAGCATTTACAGTATGTGTCTCAGGAAAGCTACAGAAAGCTGCAGATGAAAAATTAATATATCCTAATCATGTTTCCAATGCAACAATTTATCTGACATATACACAAAAACAACAGCTAAAATGCTGACAGAACAGCTCCAGCTAACATGCTAAACAGATATACAATCTGAAAGTTAAAACATGTTGTTCTGGAAATAATAACAAGGTATTTCACACTAAACATTTGCTGTGTCGCTCAGGAGGCTTTAGGCCTGAGGGTCACTCTAATAATTTATTGATGGTGTTTTCCAACTTGCTCATTCCACCTAGTCAGTAAAGACAAAGTAATTATTCTATAAAGAATGAATCAATTTTCATTCTTTATGATTAATTAACAAGAGCTTATACTGTTAGCAATTGGAAAATAAAAAGTTGTTTTGTAAGAGCCATAGATTAATTTACTGTTGGTTCAGCCTCAGGTTGAATTCTCTAAAGAAACACAGGAGAGATTTGTGATGTTTGTAGATAAGGGTAATAAAAGAGTCACCTCAAACTTCTGTCGGAGCTCAGTATTCTCATCATCTTCATCTGGAATGGGCACATTGTAGTACTCCCCCTCCTCCTGGTTTAACACTTTATACCTGTATCACAGATAAAGATATGGCACAAGTTATGATTGTGTATTTATGGTATTCATCAAAGCACATTTTAAGTCCATATAGGTCTGTTTACTTATCTAGTATTCATTCTGTTTAGTCTGTAAAGCAATATTTATTTTTTCTCCAAATAATGTCATTATATATATTCCATAGCATGTCTTCTTAACTGGCTAAAGTGTTTTTTTTTTTGGCATTGTTGCTCCATTTTTACATCTAAATGTTAAAACATTTTTGGGAAAGTTTATGGGAACAACAACATCAAATTGGTCTCTTTGTCACACAAAGCTAGCTTCAGAAGGCTTATAATACAGTGCACTTCCTTTATGGGGCTTTGATGTTGGTTTTTAACTAATGAGACACACAGTATCTAATAACAGTAGGAAATGACTGCTGAACAAGTGACCAAACCTTTTTCCTTGTCAGTGAGAAAGAGACAAATCCTTACCATCCACACACTGAGGATTTCTTGAGCTCAGACACACCAAAAGACATTGAGCCCATGAAATCATTACGGGTGGTTCTGTCCCAGTCCCACACCTCCACAGACAGCCGACGGTCCTTATCTGCTGGCTTCAGTTTACTGGAACAGACACACACACACATACACACACACACACGGACCAGGATGAAGCATTGCATTAGCACTCTCCCCATCATATAATAAGGCAGGGCTTTCAGCTGCTTATTCAGATGAAAACTCAAGAGAGGCTAAACATTTTTTTTTACAGTAACTATTAACTATATCTTTTTCATTGTAAATATTAACATGAAAACACAAACTAAATAGCCTAAGTATTTATAGACATTAAAATAGTGAGGGTATTACAATGAAGTTCAGGGTTCGCAAAAAAAAATCCTTCAAAAGGGTAACATGATCTCACACCTAAATGGTAAGTCTCAGCTGTATAAATAGTCACATTGTCTGCATGTATGCAGTTTTAGGTCCACTATGAACACACGATGACATACATTGTTTAAACATGTAAAGCATAAAAAATATAAGCAAACTTTTCCACAAATATTATTCATTTCTCCTTATTGAATTTTTGCACACCCCCCCCCC